TGGTCAGGAGGAGGAAGGAACGAGGGCCAGGCTGGTTGGTAACAGTTTATTCTGAACCTTTCTTCATCTCTATCTCTGCTCCCTGCTTCTTCCTCCCCCATGCTACTTCATTCTCCTTCTCCATTCCCCTTCATCCTCCTTCTCTGGAGTCTAGGTTCTGATTCCTCTCCTTCTTCCTTCTGAACTCTGCTTCTTCCTTCTCCCCACTTCTCCACCCCTCTGCACTCAGCCCACTCCTACAGTACAGTTAAATCCCAAAGCATGAGGGGTTGGGGTAATCATTACATATAGGTGTGGTCACAATCAATAGGGGTAGAAGTCTTAGCCTTGGGGAAGGCCGCTCCTAGGACAGATCCTTTCTCAGCAGGAGGACTCACCCTAGAGCAGAATCCCATGGGTGTGCCTCTCTTCTTCTTGTCCGACAAGCATATAAGCATATATAATATAAATCATTTTGTATGGATACAGTAAGAAATATCTTAAACTTATAGAATTGCTCTCCTAGGGCCATCTCGATCTCAGACTACGGTGCTCAGGCCAGATAGTCTTTCCCACCCCTAGCAGGATCCTAGTCTCGTCGTTACCTTTGGATCATGACAGCATTTGTCTATGATCAAACTCTTAACTTATAGTTAAGAATCGTGGCACTTTGGCCTGGCCCATTTCACTGCAGGGTAGCTCACCGCTTGCCCTGGGTCCATTCAGTCCCTCGTCGGGACCCTGATTTTGGGGTGTTAGGAACTAAGGGCAACTGAGGCTTAAGTCGAGAAAGCAGATGCCCGGGAGTGAATAATATTCAAAGCCAATCAAATCCTAAGTTACAAAGCATAATGTTAACGGTCTTCCTGTATCTATACAAAAAGGATATTACTTTAAGGTAAACTGTTCATAAGGCATAAGTCGAGGAGAAAGGCAATATTTCACTCATACATATAAAATCATAGATTTCTGGGAAACTGATCTTACAAATTAACAGAGTCTGATTAAGGGGAAAGCTGATTATCTGGGTGGGAAGGAGAGCATAGGGAAGACTGTTTACAGATAAACACAATGGAGTGGAAGTGCCTCAGGAGCACTGTGATGGGTGTAACCAGATTGATGGGTGTAAACAGATAAACCTAAGCGTCTTGTGGAAGAAGGACAAAGCAATATCACCCTACAATCCAGCACCCATTTATGATGAAAATTATCACCAAAATGAGAATTGAAGGAACTTTTATCAATATAGTCAAATCATGTACCACAAGCCTACAGCAAGCATTATCCTCAATGGGGAAAAAACGAAGAGCCTTCCCTCTTAGTTCAGGGACAAGACAAGGATGCTCACTCTCACCACCACTATTCAATATAGTGCTGGAAGTACTTGCCATAGCAGTTAGGCAAGAAAAAACATTAAGGGCTTCCAAATAGAAAAGGAAGAAATCAAATATTTGCAGATGATATGATACTACCCTAAAGCCTCTACTAAGAAACTCCTAAAAACAGGTAAAGGTAAAGGTAAAGGCCCTCCCGTTAATCGTCGATTTGCTCGAGCGGGCCCAGTAACGTCTCCATTGGAGACTTTGTTGTTACTGTGTCTGGCATATCGAATACTCTCGGTAGCTTGCCGGGCTCTCTGAGAGGGGCGGAGGAATCGAACTCGGGTCGGCCATGTTGGCCGCTTGTAAGGCGAACGCCCTACCGCTGTGCTATCGCTCCAGCTCCCTAAACAGTAAACTTGTATAAGTTGCAGGCTATACCCAAAAGTCCATGGCTTTCCTATACACAAATAACGAGAGATAAGACAGTGATATGAAAAAAAGCAATCCCATTCACAATCATGCCTCACAAAAATCAAGTACCTCAGAATCAGCTTAACTAAGGAGGTAAAGGACCTGTACAAAGAAAACTATAAAACTCTACTTCAAGAAATAAAGGAGGACATGAGGAAATGGAAACACATCCCCTGCTCATGGATTGGGAAAAAATTTGCATTGTCAAAATGGCAATCCTCTCCAAAGCATTATACAGATTCAATGTGATTCCTAAAAGGATACCCATGACAGTCTTCAAAGAAATTGATCAAACTCATATGAAAAAAAAAAAGAACCAACGAATAGCTAAAGCAGTTCTCGGGGAAAAAATCATGGGGGACATTGGTACATCTACACAATGGAGTACTATGTAGCTGTTAGAAAGGATGAAGTCTGAAATTTACATACAAGTGGTACAACATGGAAAGTATCATGCTAAGCGAAATGAGTCAGAAGGAGAGGGGCAGACATAAAAATATTGCATTCATCTGGCGAACATAAAGTAACAAAATAGGATACTAACACCCAAGGGTAGCCGAGATAAGTACCGGGAGGTTTACCCCATGGCTTGGACACCAGCCGCACATTCTAGGGGTAAAGGCAGCTCAGATAGAGAAGGGAGCACCTAATAAAGGGTGTTGGGAAGATCCGCCCAGGATGAGAGATGCATGCTGAAAGTAGACTATAGACCAAACATGATTGCCACCCAATGTCTCTTCTGCAGACCACAACACCCAAAAGGAGAGAGAGAACAAAAGGGAATGCCCTGCCACAGAGGCAGGGTGAGATGGGGGGATGAGGGGTGGGAGGGATATTGGAATTAGTGATGGTGGAGAATGGGCACTGGTGGAGGGATGGGTACTCGATCACTGTATAACTGAAACCCAAGCACAAAAATTTGTAAGTCTACAACTGTACATCATGGTGTTTCACTAATAAATTTTTTTTAAAAATCATGAAGGGCATCACCTTCCCCAAATTCAAATTGTAGTACAAAGCGGTAATAATTAAAAAGGCATGGTATTGTAACAAAAACAGACCTGAAGAACAGTGGAATAGGGTTGAACATCCTTACACATACCCCCAAATATATGAGCATATAACCTTTGATAAGGGAGCAAGAGATGCAAAGTGGAGCAGGGAAAGTCTCTTTAACAAATGGTGCTGGAAAAACTGAACAGCTCCATGTCAAAAAAAGTGGGCTCAGACCTCTACCTAATATCATGCACAAAAGACAGACCAAAATGGATTAAAGACCTCAAAATCTATAAGGTACATTGAAGAAAAGGTCAGAAAAACCCTCTATGACTTTGAAGCTAAACATATATTCAAGGATGAAGTGCCATTGACCAAAAAAACTGGAAACAGAGATAAACTAACTGGTTTATCTTTAACTAAGATAGTATCTTTAGCTAAGAAGTTTCTGTACCTCAAAAGAAAGTGACCAGTATACAGAGACAGTCTACAGAATGGGAAAGGATATACACCTTCCATTAAGGGATTTTTTTCAATGACATACAAGGCTTCTAGTTGAACTTTGCAAGAAGGAAACATCCAATCCCATCAGAAAATGGGGCAATGAAATGAACAGAAACTTTCTCAAAGAAGCAATCAAATAGCTAAAAGACACATGAAAATATGCTCTTCGTCACTAATCATCAGGGAGATGCTGATCAAAACAACAATGAGATATCACCTCACACCACAGAGACTGGCCCACATCCAAAAGAACAAAAACAACCAGTGTTGGCATGGATGTGACGAGAAAGGGACTCTCCTTCACTGCTGGTGGGAATGCCTACTGGTCCAGCCTTTTTGGAGAACAATATGGACATTTCTCAAAAAACTAGAAATCGAGCTCCTATTTGACCCAACAATACCACTTCTGGGAACATATCCTGGAGATTCAAAAAATTAAAGTAAAAATGACATCTGCACTTTTATGTTTATTGCAGCACTATTTACAATAGCTGGAAAAAAACCCGAGTGCCCAAGAAGAGAAGACTAGTTAAAGAAACTTTGGTATAGCTACACTGTGGAGTACTATACAGCTGTTAGAAAAAAATGAAGTCATGATATTTGCATATAAGTGGATAAAAATGGAGTATCATACTAAGTGAAATGAGTCAGAAAGAGAGGGACAGACATAAAAGGACTGCACTCATTTGTGGAATATAAAGTAACAGAATAGGAGACTAACACCTAAGGACAGCTAAAATAAGGGTCAAGAGGACTGCCCCACAACTTGATAGCCTATCTTTTGCACGGAGGGAAAAGGTAGCTGGGACGGAGAGAGGAGCATGAATAAATGATGGTTGGAGGAATTGCTCGTGATAGCAGATGCATGTTGAAAGTAGACTATGGACCAAACATTATGGCCGCTTTTTACCTGTATTGCAAACCACAACACCCATAAGGACAGAGAGAGAGTAAGAGGGATTGTGCCTACCGCAGAGGCAGAAGTTGGAAGGAGTGGGGTGGGGGAGGGATACTGGGAACTTCGGGGGTGAGGAATGGGCACTGGTGGAGTGATGGATACTTGAACTTTGTTTGACTGAAACACAATCATGAAAGTCTGCAAGTTTGTAAATGTATCTCACAATGATTGATTAAAATTAAAATAAATTAAAATAAATAAATAAGAGCATAAATGAAACCCCCTAGAATGGTATAAGAAAACAATCAGGATCTGGATACACAACTCTTTTAGTAGACATAAGCTCTAAAAACTGCAAATGATTATTTCTCACTTTTCAATGAGGCATTACCTAAAGTAGACACAGGAGATTCATCAGCACTTACTCCTAACAACAAAATAGTTAAGACACTTGGATATGTGCTGATCATTCATAAAAACTTATAAAACAATAAATAGAAAGCAGAGACACCCCCTCTCCATAACACAACACAACACACACACACACACACACATACACTGTGACTTAAGAATGTTTTCCTTCACCCTTATAGTGAAACAATACTCAAGTTGGTTGTGTCTAAAGCCCCAAGTAACTTTCTAGGACTTGATCAATAAGAAACATTTCATCAAAGGATTCTTTGTTTTCTTAAGAATTCCACGTATCAACTAATATTTGCAAGAAAAGAGCAAAATCAGTAATGATATCAACTTGATAGCAATGCATATTTGTGCACAAAATCTTGGTAAGGTTGAATTAAGGATCTAGTTATAAATGAGGATGTACATACCTGTGGTACCCATCTGGACGAGACAAAGCTGGTCACTTCGATCACAGACAATCCAGTCTGGGAAAGCCGGTTTATAAATTCAATTTTTACATCTGTAGGAACTATAACCTATTAAAACATTGAAACTTTAAGTACTGTATTATATGTAAGGAAATACTAACGCAAAAACATAAAGCTATTTCCTAACTAAAAGGAAATCAAATTTAACATTAATAAATTTATGTAACAATTGAGACCAGAGATAATCATGTTACACATGAGCTTCATTTAAGTTTTAACTCTTAGTATAACATTTAGGCTTTTTATTTGAGATAAATTGTATAAAATTAATGTTAAAATACCTTTTCATTCTGTAGTCCATCCCTAGGTCCGACTTCTACTATTTTAACATACTCCGGGAGTCCAGATAACTGGAATGCTTGCTGTAATAGAAAACAAAACAAAATAACAAGGAAAAGAAAATCACGTCTTTAGATCACCACATATGTTTATATAAAATAATACTTATATTCTATCAAGTTCTACTTCCAGAACATTACAATGATAAGAAATATTGTCATAACACCTAAGTACCAAGTTTATTTTAAAATTACCCTATTTTCCTATTTAACATTCAGTATTGGTATGACTAAAATTCAAACTTATCCAGAAAAAAATACATCTGGGGTAATTAATTCAAGGTCTCATTATAAACTTAATGTTTATAATCGTTACAAAACAGATCTTGGCATTAAAAGATTTTAGCACCTACAATTCCGATATATCCCCTTACAGATTCTGAGGCTTTAGTAGAGTGGATTGGTTTTTCTAGCATGTTTCCAGAAGATGACGACTAAGGATAAAGGCATGCTATTTACTTCTTCTTTGTGTCACACAGCACAACCTGAAGTTCAAAGCTTCCAACGTGACTTGACATTCGAGAGAGGACAGTTTAGCTTCAATCCAGCCCAGAACTCTATTTTATTTTTTTCCCCAAATCCAGGATGGCAGAGGATCTGGATGCTGCCATCTCTGTCCTTATACTAAGGACTATTAAATATGATATTTAGGACGTGTTTAAAATGGGAAAATTATAGTCTTTCTAAACTTCCTATTGCATTTTAAATTAGAAGTATGTTATTAATAAATATAAAATTCTGTCACAGAATGAATACAGGCTTTACACTCCTCCAATTCCAATTCAAATCCCTGGCACCTTATATTGTCCCAGGAGCACTGGAAGGATCATTTTCATGCAAAGAGCCACAAGTACCCTCCATGCATCTCTGATTGTGGCCAATGCCCCACCCCCACCCCCAATAAATAAATAAAATTAAAAGTAGACTATGCCTTTTCAGACTCAACGAACATGATCTTCTGGTATCTGTGCTAAGTGTAGATACATTATAATAAGTTCTTTTAAAAAAAGGAAAAAATACTTAATGAAACTGGATAAACAGGATCTATCCTACAAAGCTCTGTCTCACTTCTTTTTTATTTTCTTTCATCAGGGCCATGAATTAGGGCTGACCAAACTGGATTGTTTCTGTCCTAGTAACAAATACTCCTTAGTCTATACTGGTTAAAAATAAATTCTTGGCATATATTGGTGAAGTGGCTCTTTCGGAAGCACAGTCCAAGTTGTTTCTATGACACAAATATTCTTCTTGGCTGTTTCTAGAATTCAAAGCAGTTATTTGATTTTATTAGCATTCTTGTTTAACTAACTCAGTAAAAGAAACCATATGGCCACTGTTACAATGTTTACATACACTTCTCTAAAAGGTCGGTGAAATCAAGTGATTCATTAAGCAAAACACACACACAAACACACACACATGCACACACAAGAAGAAAAAGAATTCTCACTTCCACATCTTCTGAGTACATTATGATTCATATGGCTAACATAGGACACTGGGTGGAGATCAGAAATATGGCTGTGCTTGGACTAATGCTGAGTTTGCGATCGCAATCATGAAATAGGGTCTCACAAAGGGTCCACTTACAAATCTTGACTAGGCAATAAAATATAGATGCCATGAAGGTGAAGTAAATAAAAGAAGTTCATTCTTGCTACCTTCGAATCAAAGACTGCAGAAATAAAAACAAAACCCCAAATGCCATAAACAGACTTGTTTCTTTATGACTTGTGTGTCTTTGTGTGTATCGAAATTTCAATTTTAACAGCAACTAGCTTGAAGCTGAGTGAACAGCCTATCTCTTTCTTAAACACCAATGTTTAAAAGTAAGAAAACAAACAAACAGACAGATAGGACTAAATTCAAATTTAAAATATTTACACAACTGAAGAAAGACCATCAAAGAAAGATAACCTACAAATTAGAAGATCTTTGTACAGCCTACGTTGAACAAGGATTTGCTAACAAAAATATAAATGACTTACTCAAGTTCACAATAACATAAAACAAATAACAAAATAGTTAAAAGAAGAGAGTGGATACTACTACAAAGAATACCGACAGATACCTCACACACTTACAAGAAATTGCTCAGCACCATGCCAGATGATCTCACTTCTCTGTGAAACAGAGGACAGCAGGACATCAAAGGGTAAATTGATAAAAAAATTATTTAAAGATGAGTATCAGTATTTGACCTAGAATACCCTGGTTCCTAGATTATAGAACTGAGAAGGAAAGAAATGAGGAGGGGGTAAGAAGAGTCAAAGGGGGGAAGGGACAGAAGGCACAGGCGGGACGGCTGGCATGGAGGTCTGGCTCATGGGCAGAATGAACCACAGAACCAAAAGAACCGAAATGATGTGATCCAAACCATAACAACCGAACTTTAAAACGAGTCTGTCAAAGCAGCAGGCTGAGGATTGGGAGGTAAACTGGGACATTAGTGGCAGGAAGTTGCCACTGGTGACAGGATATTAGTATTCCTGAAACTCAAGTATGAATAACTTCGTAATCACCATGCCTCAAAAAAATGAATAAAATTGTAATATTCATTATCACTTAGGACTGTGGAATTATAGCCTAAAGCTACAATGAAATACTACCTCACGCCTATGAGAATAGTCTGTAATAAAAAGACTAGAAACACCTGTTAATGAGGAACATGGATAAAGGGAATGTGTACAATGTTGATGGGAAGGTTAACTAGCACAGCCACCATGAAATTAGATATGCAGATTCCTTAAAAATCTAAACACAGGGGCCGGAGCAATAGCACAGCGGGTAGGACGTTTGCCTTGCACGTGGCCGACCCCGGTTTGATCCCCAGTATCCCATATGGTCCCCTGAGCACTGCCAGGTGTAATTTCTGAGTGCAAAACCGGAAGTAAACCCTGAGCATTGCTGGGTGTGAGCCAAAAAGGAAAAAATAATCCAAACACAGAAATACAATTCACCAATATCATGATCCCGCAAAACCACTTCTAGGTCTTTAGCTCAACGTATGAAAATGTTGCTGCAGCAAAGATGTATGGTCGAAGTGACATCTGCACTTGTTTGTTCATTGCGGCACTCTTTACAATAGCCAGAATCTAGAAAAAACCTGAGTGCCTGAGAACAGATGACTGGCTAAAGAAACTTTGGTACATCTACACAATGGAGTACTATGTAGCTGTTAGAAAAGATGAAGTCATGAATTTTACATGTAAGTGGTACCACATGGAAAGTATCATGCTAAGCGAAATGAGTCAGAAAGAGACGGACAGACATAGGAAGATTGCATTCATCTGGGGGACATAAAGTAACAAAATAGGAGATTAATACCCAAGAATAGCCATGATAAGCACCAGGAGGATTACTCCATGGCTTAGAGGACAGCTGTGCACTCTAGGGAAAAGGGCAGCTCAGCTAGAGAAGGGAGCACCAAATAAAGGGTGTTTGGAGGATCCTCCCAGGAGGGGAAATGCATGCTGAAAGTAGACTATAGACCAAACATGATTGCCACTCAATGCCTGTTTTGCAGACCACAACACCCAAAAGGAGAGAGAGAACAAAAGGAAATGCCCTGCCACAGAGGCAGGGGGTGATGGGGGGGATGGATGTGGGAGGGATACTGGGATTCATGGTGGTGGAAAATGGGCACTGGTGGAGGGATGGGCATTTGATCATTGTATAATCGAAATCCAAGCACAAAAATTTGTAAATCTAAAAAAAAGAAAGAAAATATTGCTGCAGAAGGATAATTGCATCTCAATGTTTACAGAAGCATTATTTATATGGATTCAGAGTTAGGATTCACCTAACTGCAGGTGGATGCATTTCTACAGCAGGATACTGCTCTTCTCCTTAAAAAGATAAAACTGCTTTTTGCAACAACCTGGATTAAATTTGATATGTTAAGAGAAGTAACTCACAAAGTTAAAGACAAGTACTAAATATTTCTCTTCTATGTGGACTATAAATAATCATGCAAACAAACTGGCAAAATAAAACTAAAATTTACCTGTTTGCTATATATGAAAATAGAGTGGTTATGGGAAGGGCGAAGGTTAAGGGGAAGGGATGGAGTGGGAGAAACAGGTGGACATGATCGTCTTGAACCTGTCATGGCCCGAGAGCTTTGGTGGTAGAGATAGTGAAGCTTTTATACATATAGAAGTATCAGGCCGTACTCCTGAACTTTCATAATACTATAAGGCAATGGTAAGTTGATAAGTTATTTAAAGATAAGTATCATTATTTGACCAAATATCAGTAATTGACAAAAAAATTATAAATAGTGTTTTAAAGAAACATGCTAAGTACAATATTTCAACTATACAATATTTCATCTACGGCAAAGACTTTTCACTAACACCATCTTTCTTCTTTGTGGACATGGGACTGGCATTAAGATTTATGTGTTGAGAGCTGAAAAGACAGCACACAACAAAGGAACTTGTGCTGCATGGGGCAAACCCAGATTCAGTTCCCAGCACCATATATGGTCTCCTGAGCACCACTCAGAAGAATCAAGAGAAACTTCTAAGCACAAATCCAGGAATAAACCCTGACCACCAGCAGGTCTGACTCACCCACCCCAAAGAAACCATATTTGGACAAGTTCTTGTGCATTATATATACAACTTTTAGGCTTGGCCCATAAAATAATTCCATGTACCCTTCTCCATGCTCTCTTCCCTTTAGCTGGGTCAAAATGGATAATAATGGCAAATACTGGAAATTAACAAAGACACATATACAAAGATACCCAAGGGGACAACACCTGCATCACCATCGGGGAAGGAATATCATGGCAGTAAGAAGTAATTGTGACGCTGGAGACATAATATAAGAGGTAAGGTTCCTGCTTTGGTGTAGCTAACCCAAGATTGATCTCCCAACATACATACGGTACCCTAAGCACTGTCTGGAGTGATCATGAGCACAGAACCAGGAGTAAGCCCAGAGCAAAGGAGGCAGTGGAATAGGAAGAGGAGGAGAAGGAGAATCAGAAGCCACAGCGTTATTTTGTACTTTAT